TTTGTTTTTGTAAAATTTTTTTTCTAAAAATTTTTTGTTTTTGTAAATTTTTTTTCAAAAATAAATAAAATTTTTTCCTAAAAATTTTTGTTTTTGTAAAATTTTTTTCCAAAAATTTTTTTTTGTGGTTCGGGGTTTTGATATATTTGCTTATAAACATTTTTGTGCATATAAACATTTTGCAAATGTTTCTGACCATTCCATCCAAAAACGAAAAATGGCCAACTTTGAGGCCGTTTATTGGCCTTCCTAGCGGTCCTAGGACATCGAGACTGGGTCCATTCGATTCCTTGGGTCGGCCCCAACGGATTCCAAGTGTAACCATGCCCCTAGGAGGCGTATTACGGCCGCTAGAGTGCTTCAAAGTTGCCGTTTTTGCCAAAATCATGCATATGCCTTAGCAAATTTTTGAGCAACATTATGTTGCCAAACACGTTGTATATACATTATAATGTGTATCAACATCCCCCTTACTGGGCGTATATGCATCTTTACATTGTCTACATATGACGTCATTGTCTACATGCATTGTCTACATGTGTAGACAATATAGACTTTTTGTCTACTTGTACGTTTACATGTTTACATTGTCTACATATGACGTCATTGTCTACACACATTGTCTACGTGTGTAGACAATGTAGACTTTTTTGTCTACTTGTAATACTTACTTACGCTTGCTTGCAAACGAATTGTGAAACAACTTCATTTTTAAATTTGTATTTTATTAAGAAAAGGAATTGTTTTATTGTTATTACATCTTGATTATAATACATTTTTATACGATATAAATATAAATAAAAAACTTAAATTACAAAAAAAATAAAAATTTGTTTTCTATTTTTTATAGATGATAAAATTGACGAAATCGCAATTTCATCTTTTTCGATTTAGGATTATGTTAAAATTTCCATTTTTTTTTTGTCGACATGGCGTAAACAATATCCCAGACGTCTGTCTACGTCTACAAAAGCTATACACGTATATATATTGTTTCTGGAAATTATGTTTATTCGTTATACTTGCGCTGCTGTTTCCATGCAAATAAGTTACGAATCAATTTTATCTATTTTTGTTTGGGTTTTATTATTAATTAGATTATTAGTTTATATTATATAACGTTAACTTTCTTATTATACTACCATTTTTTTCATGTTATGTAAGTAAATAAATAAATATGTTTAGTAAAATAGAAACATAATAATGATTATCAAAAATGAATCTTGCGCATAGACACGACATTTTCTATGCGCTAATTGATTCCGTTCGGTAGATTATGTACATATCCTTTGCGCTACATAAATGATTTATAACGTATGCATCCAATTAAATGTAGAAGAAAAAAACAAAAAAAAAAAAAAAAAAAAAAAAAAAAAAAAAAGGACACGATGCATATAGAGGCGTAATATTCGCGACGCTTTTTCTAAAATATTTCGATTGGAATAAAGAAAGTAAAGAGATTCTGTCGCGATTAAGCCGCCGCAGGCTGATTGTGAAAATCAAAAAGATATGACGTAATACCGGCACATATTTGATTATCATTCATTCATTTTATAAACTAATTGTTAGTTTATAATTAATTCATTTAATGTATTAGCGCGCAAATGTATGTTTTAGTAAAACTTAATTAGAGTAGAAATGAAATTTAATTTGTTTTTTTTTTTTTTTTTTTTTGTTTAATAAAAATTGAGCTTTTTTTTTTTTTTTGTTCCACATAAAAAGGTATTATTAGTTGAGCAATGATGTTAATTGATGAGATATTTCTACTAGGAGGACTAGGTGATGATGCAAAACTAAATTTACCTTACAATATATATATATATATATGAGAAAAAAAGACACAAAATACGAATACACATATATACGTACGTACATTAGTTAGTTCTGATAGATTTAAAACAAAACTTATTGTTATTACACATTAAGTTACACATACAATATTTTAGGAAGATGACATAATTGAATTGTTGTTGTATGGCAAAATACAGAGATGACATTTTAGCATGCATTTACTCTATTTTAGATATGTTATGTATAGATAGGTAAATATGTTTTGTGTGTGTGTGTGTGTGTGTTTATATAATTTTACGTTTTTGTTTATGTTAAATATTTTCTTTGGTTTTTTTTTCCATTTAATTGCATTTGTATTACATTGTTTTTGTTGTATTTGCACAAGAAACGCATATATATATTTATATATATATATATATATATGTATATATATGCATTTATAAATATGCATATTAAGTAAGCATTTGCACTTGTCTATGATATTTATTTTATGCGTTTATTTTTGCCCCGCCCTTTTTTGAAACCGTATTAAACTGTTTTGTTTTTTCTTTGAGAAAAAAAAAAAAAAAAAAAACAATTATCCACGAAAAGTAATATAAGATTGATTGACAAGTATTTTGTTAATACTTAATCAAATTTTAAACATATGCTACATATACACATAGATATAGACGGGGAATAACATTAATTGTAAACGATTTTTATATACAATTCAATATATATATATATATATATATATGTACATATATATATATATATACTTGTACATGTAATTAATTTAGACAAGTGTTTGTTTATAATGTTGAAATGCTTGAAGAGTTCATCATCATCAACATCATCATCATCATTATCATTATCATCATCAAGCATTTCATATTGTGTTTGGACGGCTTAACACTATAGTTTTCATATAATGGCATTTTATACATAATTATAAGAACTTATGAAGAAAATTAATTACAGTTAAAAAGACAATTTTTTCTAATAAAACATTTACAAGAAGCGCATGCATCAATCCGTCGTCTTTGCATTTTCACATTTCAGTCGAAGTTTAGCGAATTTTCAGTTTGAAATTGAAATTCTTTGTCCTCGCAATTTGAAAAGATATTCGAGAAATATGTCATGAAATTTATCCCAGAGTTGTGTATGATTATCGTAAAACGTGTAGAATATTTCTCATTCGTGTTTCACACGTTTTGAAGCTTGTTCTGAACTCACATTGCTTGATGTGATGAATTCTAATTGATATTCGAAATCAAAGTCAACGTCTTTTTTCTGTAAAAAGAAGCAAAAATTATTGTTAAGTCGAAGTAAGGCCGCCCCCTTCAATATCCTACCTATCCTAACAAATCGCGTCTATCACTGAAATGATGAAATATCAAAAAAAAAAAACCCCATCTCGCGACCATATAAAAGCTTATTCTCTCGGTGCAAGTGTTACATGCGATAGGATTCTAAAATGGTAGACTTACTTACATGCTCCAAATTTTATCCTACCTCCTGTCATCAAAATTATGAAAAATGAAATTCCTTGTCTTGGTTTTGGTTGGAAAGTTTTTTTTTTTTTTTAAGAGAGGTTTCGATTCGAGGGAGCCCTTCTTTTTCCACATTTGGTGAAAAATATTCTTGTTTGGCGATTTCTGTTGGGAAATTTTGGGAAATTGCAATTTTGTTTTTTATGAAACAACTTTTCCATACAAGGCGTTATATATATATATGAAGACTGGACGAAAAAGTCTGATCTAATGCAATTCATTCTCGTCTTTTCAATAGGATAGGCCTTTGGGTGCGATTTGCGTAAATATATCTCAAAAATTTTAACCTATAAGATAAAAGCAACCGGACAGACAGACAGACAGACAGACAGACATATGAACATACAAACTTAAATCGTTTGGGAAAATGATTCCGATGATAAAATTGTTTAGTCGGTTACATGAAAACGGATACACTACTGGGTAAATATGCCTACGATATGTTTATGTTAAAAAAAAGTCATATGAAAAAGAAGAAAAATTACTTACAACACGATCGCAAATTACTGCTATAGCGGTTTTCTGTTGTTCTTCAGCTATCTTATGCTCTACCAAATAAAACATGTATTCATCGTACAGCAAACGTATTAAATGAAAACTACCAAAACTTGATGCCGATCTAAGTGTAAGGTCCCGTATCACCATCGAACTGTAGAAACTCCATTTCAATAAGAATTGTCGAGCCGCTTTCGCATAATTTGGTTTGCCATGATATTCTTGTAAAGTTGAGTCCACAACTAATTGCAACCACGATGCCCATTGCTCTAAAGAACTTTGTTGTTGGAGAGCGGCTTTAAAATCATTTTCTAAACGTTGAACAACGGTCGGTTCACATTGGCAAACCCAGGCTGCTTGTTCCTGCAATACACAATTGAAGAGTAGGGAAAAAACGAAAAAAAAAAAAAAAAATTAAACACAAATCCATTACGGAAATGAAATCGCATTTAATTTACACTTCACACCTGAACGTTATGAAAATCGACGCGATTCAAATCGTTTAGCATTTGAGCAATTTGCGTACTATTCTGCAATACAGCACGCGCCGCTTGAGCCAAATGATTGAGCGAAGTGTAACGACGTAATGTTTGACAAAATGCCGATACAGCGGTCGATTTAATTTGAATCATACGCTCCGGCACACCTAACATGCATTCGCACAACCAAATTTCCATATTCTTGGCAAAATTACGTATGGCCTGTGTTAAGGCGTTCGGTATCGAACGTAAAACATCGGGTATAATAACATCAACCATATTCTGATAGAATTGATAGTCCATCTAAATTTGAATTGACGAAGTTAAAGGGAAAGAAGTGAAGAAATCAATGGCAATCAATGCATTCATCTTTTTCAATTATTTGATATATATATATATGTGTGTGTATGTGTATGTGTATGTATGCGTGTGTTTGTGTGTTTTTGTATTTGTCTACATACTTCTCGTACAAATTTTTGCACACCTGCGCAATGGCACAAAAGATATAATTTATTTTTACTCAAATATTTCTCGTCTCCGCACTCGTCGAGACTGCTGCCATTGTCGGAGGTATCACGCCAAAAGTCACGCCATAAGAACTCAATTGTATGAAATTCGAGATTGAGAATAGCGTCTAAAAAATTTTCGCAATGCTCGCGATACATCGATCGAAATATATCCGCATCTTCTGCTGTCAATTCGTTACCGAAACTATTACCCAAATCGATGACCGGTAGAGATGGAATCGCACCGCTACCGTCACCTAAAAACTGAATATTGCGCGGACACTTTTAAATATTGCTATTACCGGCATTTCCGTTATATATTCATAGAATCATTACCTGAACGCAGGCTTCATATGTTTCGGGCTTAAGGATATGTTTTCGGGATGTCTTAGTCGTATGGCTGCCACCCATGCCAAGATTTCCGGTACTGCCAACAGTAGTACCATGAATACTGCACGTGATATTAGCATTGCTGACACCCGCGCTTAGGGATCCGGCATTGCTCGTGCTATTGGAAGACGCGGAGCCGTGCATTGCGAAGGCAGTCTTCTCTTCTGTTATTTGATTTAAGATTGAGTCTGGCTTAATGCGAATACCGTAATAATGGTATTTGGAATTGCCGCGTGTACCCAAACGTCTCGTCCGTAGGCCCGAGAATACTGAACGTATTAGTTTGCCAAAACTGGCCGCGTTTACCGGCTCCAACTTGCTCTCGTTGCAATGCTGAATGTAATGATTGTAAAGAGTTGAACGCGGTAAACTGACACCGTCTGCCGTCTCGTAGTTACGTGATAGCCATTTTATCTAAACGAATCAAGAAGAAGAAGAAGAAAGTTAAGAAGAAAATTAAATGCTTACAAAATATTGACTGATTGATTACTGCCAAGTAATTTACCGTAGCTGTCGCTATTTTATTTGTATTCCCTAAATGGCTTTCATTTTCTGATTTTATATCAGCACCTCCGCCAACACTATTGCTATTGCTAGCGCTGACACTGCCGCCGCCCAATGAATTCGTTGTCGTCGTTGACGTGGGTGTTTGCGGTGCGCCTTGTGCTTCATGCAGATAAGCCACCTCCTAGAATCGTAATCAACGCAGCAAATAATCGAACATGTGTATGTATGTGTGTGTGTGTTAATATTTTATTCTACTTACGGTCAAACTGTGCGGAGAATCACGACTATGCGATTGTGATGACGTATTCAGCAATAAACTCTCATCAACTGGTACCAAATAAGGTAAAGCACTTGGTGTATGAGCTGTGGGCGTATTCAAGGAAGCCGTCGAAGCATAGTTACCCGCAGTTGTCGTTGTATAGTAAGATTGACCGTTACTTTGATAATCACCGACCGGACAAAAGGGATAGGTCCTAATTATGAAATCGAAAACAAACAAACAAACAAAAAAACAAAAAAAAAAAAAAGTAAGAGGACATTTTTGAAACATTCCATCAGAGATATATCTATATATACATATTTATATATATATTAATTTTTACTTACATTTGCGTTTGACTAGAATTGCTGTGATACAGTTCGGTATCTACATATTGCACTTGATAGTTTTGACCAGCATCTTGGGCGGACACTGAAATTAAAAAATTATCAAATTGATTGAATAAAAAAAATTCGAGCTTTCTTCGTTCTTTCTTTCTTTCAACTGATAATGATACGGACAACGAAAAAGACTTCAGCGCACATTTATTGCCTTCGAAGGCAGATACAGTGTCGCTGATGTCGTCTTTTTTTAGCGCAAATATATATTTTGTAGTTTCTATGCGTGCGGAATAATATTTGAATATTTCCCGTCGCCTTGGATCGGATATTGTTATCAAAGTGTATAGGAAAGATAGCGTTCGGCCCCCCGCCTCCCCCAAGTTAGACGTCAGTAGTTTGAAAATTTCTCTATCTATAGGCGAATTATTCCAAGCAGTCATTGTATCCCATTAAGAAAAACGTTTTACAAATGTCGTATTAAGCCGTTCAACAGGAGCAAATTTTGCAGGGGTCTACCAACAAAATTGCGACAGCAAAAAGAGGCGGAACAACGCTTTACGTACGCGATCGAAATATACTTCTCTCTGGCTGTTACGGTAAATGTCATTTTAAAAGCTTTCTATAACATGATCACTTTACATCACTTTACGCCCATAGTTCGAAATAAAATATTATAGTCCCTCTGTCATAATTTGATAGAAGATTCACGGACAATAGTTCGAGTTCTTCGGAGAGACATTAATTTTATATGCTTGGGATTTGTCCCGTAAAAAAAAATTCGAAACTTTATATTCAAAATTTTCGCATTAATTCGCGACGACGATGACTTGACGGTAATGGAAGGTAAATGCGAGATTGCAATTATTTTTCGCCCACGTTTCGTGAATGATTTTGTTAAGAAAAGCCGAGTGAAAATTGTTTAGTGCAAATGTCTCGAAATGGTCGACCCATGCTGGCCTCAAGAATTCGTCCTTAAGGTTTAAAAATCTTGATCCGATCGATATGGGTACGATTAGACCAGCAAAACCCAGCCCAGCATCTTGGAGATAAAACATCTATCAATAAATACTTTCTAGTTCAGTTAGTTTATGCTCTAGAGAATATTTCTCTCTCCCTCTCTCTCTCTCTCGCTTGGATAAGCGTGACGAAAACGAAATTCTCATCTTTCAGTTAATGTGCGATATATCATATAAATGTGCCGACGGAAAGAAACGTCGCGTAAACGATTTCTCTTGTTAGAAGTCGAAGGACGATAAACACGAGAGACCAATTCAAAATCTCAGATCATGATGGATATAATATAAGTGGAAGAATATAATGTGATAAATGAATGCCTTATCGCGTGTCGCGTCGCCAGTTGCTTATTAAGAATACAACAATAATTGCTGCATGTACGTACCACCGCAATAGGACAAATTGTTTTGACGACGATACATGGCTGTTGGTGCGGTCGTTGATAGATTGGGCGATGCGGAAGAAGAGGACGGCGAAGGCGAGCAAGCAATAGCAGTAGTACACGTTGACGTATAATTGGCAGCTGTAGCTACAAATGTTTGATGATGATGATGATGGTGATGATGATGATGCAAATGATGGGCAATTGCGTGATGTTGATTTACCGGCGGCGGTGTTGACTGATAAGAAGCTGAGAGATTCTGATATTGATTAAGAGAATGTTGCGATTGTTGTTGGTGTTGTTGTTGTTGTTGTTGTTGTTGGTGTTGTTGTTGTTGTTGTATCGACGGATGATTTAATTGTTGATAGTGATATTGCTGATGATGATGATGATGATGCCGATTAGAATGATAATGACAATTAGCCGTTGTATGAATTTTGCAGTGACACTTATCCAAAAGATGATTAAAACTTGTACCACAATTTAGTTGCTGCAAGTGATGATGTAGTTGCTGCTGTTGCTCCAACGTTAGTCGTGAATGCATTCGTTTCGATTTTGTTTTAACAAAAGACATGCAATGCGATTCCTATCTGCGCAACACCTCCTTGATAACAAACTTTGGATTACATCAAAAAACGTGGTTTCCTAGAGGAAAATCTTTTGTTTTTTTCTTGCCCTTGCTTGCTTAATTGATAAAACTCAATTCCATGGGTGACGCAAAACGACGGTGTCCAGTTTCAATGAAATTACGCATTACCGGACTATCACTAACACAAAATGAATGATATGCACGCAACATGAATAGTGTATAGTGTAAGCAACACTTGTAGTAACTGCACTGCACTGCACGCACTAGCACGCCGCAGTATTCAATTTAGCACAACAAGTGGCGACCGAAAAATTAATCAACACCGATATCGATACAAAAAAAAAAAAAAATAAATAAATAAAACAAACGAACCGAGTAACTAAACGACGGTAAAACGACCGTCCGATCAACGATAGACGAAGAACGTATTAGTTCCTTCCCTATAATTAATTGACAGTGTATACTCGCAATAGTACCGATACTCGTAATGTGATAATATTGTGCGGCGCCAACAAATTAACAAATAAAAGTGAAAGTGACCGAAAGCTGAATTGCTTTGCCTAGCCGTCATCCGCATAGTGTTGTAGCCATGTAGCCATGGAAAGCGTTACATTGGCGTCGATTGAAGAAGAGTACTTAACTGACTTGACAACGGCCAGTAGGTAAGAAATATGATGCACATCAACGAACTAACTAACGGAGGAATTACGACTGAATTAAATATTAATAGTTATCCTAGTAATATGCCTCCTCGTTCGCTGACAACGAGCACATATCTGAGACGGCGACGACGTTGTCGACGCAACGCAAGATATATATATATATGCGTTGTTATGAATTGTGCGAATCCGTAGCCGTGTCAACGTCAACAGCAACATCAACATCAACATCGTCACCACCACTGCGCCACCACCATGTTACATATATAATCCCATCTACCATTGAATAAGAGTTACAACCCACTAAAGTTTTTCATGTTTTCTGAAAAATCCCAAAGCTTCACTTTACCTGTTTACTCTATAGGCATTATATTAACCTCCCACTCCCCTCTCCTGTTCGTCTACTTAAAAAAAAAAATAAAAAAATAAGATGTAGGAATATAACTAAAAATTTCTGTGCAAGTATACATACACATACACACACTCACACACACACACACACACACACACAGACAAACACACGAGATGGTGGTAATCAATTCTAGTGATGACATACATAACTAATCACCTGAATCCAACGACCAACAAGGATATAGCAAACTTGGTATTAGCCTAAAGGTTCGACTTTGTTCAAGTGTCATTACCGTTATAAAGCCGGATTTATTATGTGCCACCATTTTTGATTTTCTTTTTCGTTTTTTTTTTTTTTTTTAAAGCGCCCAACCACCTGTGTCTGTCAGAGTAAATCAAATAAACATCACCACCGCCAGCAACGCAACTACGCATTTTTGTGTTTGCATCCGTTTTGCAAATCCAAGTGACTGAACGCGCGTACACATCGTCACAGATACAGACATACCCATATATATATATACATATATATATATATATATATATATATATATATGCGCCATAACAACAATAGCCTGCAACTAAGCAACCAATCGTCAGGGATGCTGTGCACAGAAGCACCTCCCCTTCTGAAAAGTGAGTGTTCGCACAAAACGGATATGAAGATAGCGGGTGTTTTTTGGGATTTGCCAACGTTACCATTACACAACTATTGTTATTTTCTTTTTCACTCTGATGCTTTTACCCCCGACGATAAACAAGTGTTTGTCTTTATGTTTGTTATTCAATTCGTTTTCATCCCCATGAAATATTGCGACCACGCTTCCATGCATCTCGTGTGCGTTTTGCATTTTTGGGGGAAAAGCTGTTTTATATTATCGTGCAAAGCTTTGCTTTTTTTTCTTTTTTCGTTTTTTTTTGTTGTTTTCTTTCTTCTTTTCATTCAATTCGAAATTATGACGGACGTTACGAAGCAGCAGTGCGTATTGTGTTATTAATTGACTTTAAAACGATACAACAAGCGGCACTACTTGTGCACCTGTATACGTGCATGTATGTGTGGGTCAGTTCACCTTCACTTGGGTTTTTTTTTTTTTTTCTGTTTGTTTGTTTCAAGTGACAATCTTTTGATCATATATTTGTAAATTCCAAAAATTATTCAAATGGAATCTGAGCATAAAGTTCTACTACATCTATTGAATATTTTTTTTTTTGATGCTTTTACATTTTCATTTTTAAACAACTTTATGCAGACAAAGTAATTAATAAATGTTTTTTTCCCCTTGATTAAGAACTTGACGAAACTGTGAAACTAAATCCATCAATAAGGAAAGTCCGACTCTTTTCGAAGACCATTTCGAAGCGATTATGAAGAAAACAATAAAATTATAAATATGAACATAATGGTGAAAAAAAAAATATATTTTTTAAAAATATAAAATGGTTAATAAATTCCGGATAACATACATACACAGAGAGAGAGGGAGAGAGAAAGAGGGAGAGAGAGAAAGAGGGAGAGATAGAAAGAAAAATGAAGATAGATAGAGAGTGAGGGAGAATTAGAGATAGATAGATAGATAGACAGAGATAGAGATAGAGAAAGAGAAAGAGATAGACAGAGATAGAGATAGACAGAGATAGAGATAGAGATAGACAGAGATAGAGAAAGAGAGAGAGAAAGAGAGAGAGAGAGAGAGAGAGAGAGAGAGAGAGAGAGAGAGAGAGAGAGAGAGAGAGAGAGAAAGAGAGAGAGAAAGAGAGAGAAAGAGAGAGAAAGAGAGAGAGAGAGAGGGGAGACTAACAGACAGAAAAGATCATATTATATAGATATATGCAAACACAGATCCACATTAGGTGCTTGCAACAATTCGAATGTTAAAGAAATGGGAAATTTGATGATCTTAACCTTTCTCTACCTATCATTGACCTATTCAGCGTATGCAGACGCTAATCATGAAGCGCTTGAAATTGTTATTTCGTCATTCATTACTTTTGTTGTTTGATTTGATGAAGAAATCTGACAATGATTTGCAAAACTTATTGAAAGAAGACTCAGCTTAAACTCTCAAATTACTCTCGAACAGCTTAGCAGTTGA